CTACTCGAGTATCAGTGCTGTGTAGACTGTGAATGAGTTCAGTTTCTGTCATGGGAAAGGATGCTTTGGCTAGATTTTCTGGATTTTGGGACTCTATATATAATTTGAGAAATTGTCTGCTCTGTCTATGCAACTCAATAGATTCATCTCAAATGGGATTTAAACTTCTGGACATAAGTAGTTGAATAGTCCTGAATTATAGTCTATTTTCTACAGTGGATAAATGAAGCTGAAAACCTAAAAGGGCTGAATGATGGTGACAACTAGGGGAATAAAAGGGTCTTTTTCATTCATCAAAACAAAATTATAAACAGAAATTGGTTCTTATGGCACAATTCCTAAAAGCGATGGTAGGTAAAATGTTGTTGTTGGACTTGGAGTTAGGAATCTAAAAACACAGATCTATTCATGTCCCTTAAAATTTCCCAAAGAGAGAGTTTCAATTATTAGGAGGTAGCATATAATTGTATAGGAAAATGAATTAAGCATCAAATATCAGCCTTTCAATGCATATGGTAGTTGGGTTATAATAGTGAATGCTCTGAAAGAAAACAAATATTTTCAACAGTGAATTTGTAGAAAAAAAAACATTACTTAAAAGAAATATTCCAGTTAGCTCATTTTTAAAATAACTATATTATTCCATTGACATTAGTTCATTTTTCCTGTGTGATACTAGAATACACAATTGATTGTTTTTAAGTTTTTTGGCTTTAGACTTTGTGTTTATACAACACAAAGTTTTTACAGTTTTGTAAAAAACTGGCTGAGAGAGAAAACATTTATGCTTTTACTTTATGTGCAAGTGCCTATGAGGTGTTCAAAAATTCTTCTTTTAATTGCATACAGAAAGTTCCATTTCATCAAATCATTTTTAAAGATATAAGGAAAATGAGGCATCACTCAATGCGAGGACAGCATTCATTCTGCATTTATTGAGCGCCTACCCCATGCTGGGCACCATTTCTGGTGCTAGTGACACAGTGAAGAAGCAGACAGAACTGGCACCTGGGTTCCGTCAGGGTTCCGTCCCTACCCTGACGGAACTGGCATTTGGTGACACCTTCCCAAATGAATGTCGCCTCTCCCTAGTGTTGTGATTTTCACTTATTTGTTATGGCGAATGTTGTCCTGGGGTAACCCAAGACTGCCTCTATGTCTCAGAGCTCTAATGTCAATAACCCCATCATTCTGATCATCAGACTTTTGCAAATTTAGGAATTCACATTTCATTAAAAATTTTAGAGCCGCTTCATTTATTCCAGACCCTGTGAGTTAGCTGTATTTGAAAACATAATGAGATGCGTTTAATTTCTGAAGCATAGTTGAAGCATAGCACAAGTAAATTCCAACATTTAAAAATACTTTTCGAGTACTTTCTTTATAGCGTCATTTATTTGTGGAAGGAAGAAATTAAGATCGAGAACCAGATCAATTAGACATTTAGCATAGAATTTTCATGTGAAACCCTTTAGGAAGTGTTTGATTGAATAATACTATTTTTAATATTCATGTTATAGATCAAGTCCTACAGTCATAGCCTAAAACACAAGCTCTTAGGATTTTAATAATTGGCAAGATGAAGCTAAAGACAAGATGTTTGTGCAAATGACTTCCATGGAAGCAAATGTCTATGAATTGATTTTTAAAAAATTGAGCTCAAATAACATAAACAAGTATGTGCATATTTTTGTTTGCTTTTTAAATATAAATGTCCCCCAAACCGCCCTTTGGAGATGCCATTTACAATGCTTTGAGGACATTTTAAATCTAAGTTTATTTAATATTTTTCACCTTCTCACATTTCTTTTAGTGCTCTTGCATAATACTCTATCTTCTTTTCACACTTTATTTTTCTTTTTTCTTTTGGATCGTAAGGAATTCTATTTCACTAGAACCTGAACAGCCAGTGAAATAAAAGTGAATTTGAATGGGCATTCACTCACTCACTCATTCATTACATGTTTATGACACGGCGCAAGGCACCATGCTCACGTTTGTTTACACAACAGCGACACCAAAGAGACATCATTTGCGTTCATGGCGCTGTCACCAAATGGGGTTGACAGGGATTAATCACATGGCGACAGGAACAAACAAAGCGCTGAGAACGTGGGCAGATTTGCAAGAGGTGAGCGTGCACAGGCAGCTGGGGGCCGTCACCACCCGAGACCAGGAAGGCCACGAAAAGGAGCATCATGTGTATTCCGGAGCAAAGAAAAGCTGTTGCGTGACTCAAAGCCAACCTTGACAAGCAGGGATTACCCTTCATGATCTGGGTGGGAACCAAGACAGTCACAAAAGCCCTTCAGAGTAGAAGAGGGCAGCAGAGCTGAAGATCCAGAGAAGAGGTGCTGTGGGGAGGACTCGGCCCACCAGCCCCTGAAGGTCGTGCAACGGCTTCTCCAGCCAAGGAATGCCAGGGGCCCCTAGACGCTAGAACAGGCAAGAGAACAAATTCTCCCCCAAAGTCTCCAGAAATGAACGCAGCCCTGCTAATACCTTGAATTTAGCCTGGTGAGACTCATTTTGGACCTTCACAAGAGAATAACTTATGTTGCTTTAACCAACTACATTGGTAATAATTTGTCCCAGCCTCCATAGAGAACTGGTGCACAATCTGATTTAAGACTGATTGCAAACCCATTGCACTGGCCGTGTTAGTACCCTTATTTTCAGATGAAGAAACAGGCTCAGTGAGGTTCCAGGACTTCCTTGCTGAAGCCCACCTTCCTTGAAGGTTGTGCACGAGGGCCAGAATTCTGCCTTCTGCACCCAGAATAAAGAACTTGCATGCATAGGGGCAATTTAGGGGCAGAAATCCAGAGTGCAGCCTTAGGAATGTTGAGTTTGGAAAGCCACTATGTGGTATAGGAAGTAGGGAGCACTGGCTCTTCAAGGAAATAGCTCCCGTGGATGTAGTGGTTTGGGATCTGTCAGCAGGAAAATGATTTTCCAAGGCATGGGAATGAATGAAATTGTCCACGGAGGTGATACAAAAGAGAAGTTAAGCAGGGGTGAGCTCAGGCATGGCAGCTTTTAGGGCTGATGGGAGGGAAGGAGTATCTGTGTCATTCTTGATGCCTCCTTTTGCAAAAATATAATTGCCTCATAAAATACATAAGTGATCTTCAAGTTACATAGGACCCTCTGCGGTAGCCAAGCCTGGTCATGTGATTGTCAAATGGCAACCCAGAATCCCCACTGTTCTCGACCAAACAATTCCAGTCATGCTCTGTTCCCATCCCAGGACTTTGACACTGGCTGTGTGTTCTCTGCAGGCAGAACTGCACTGTCCAATACTGCAGCCATCGGCTACTGGCGGCTGTTTACATTTAAATTGATTAACATGAAATAGAATTAAGAATTTAATTCCTCAGTTGCACTGGTGGCATTTCAAGTGCATTATAGGCACAGGTGGCTAGCGCTTACTGCATAGGGAATATTTTCATCATTACAGCCCACCCACAGTGCCCTTCCCACGGTCTCTGCGTTCCGGCGCCCATCACGAGCTTCCCTAAGGTCCTTACTCAAACGTGAGCTTCTCGGTGAGACACGTGGCCAATTAAAATTGTAACTTTTTGGCTACATGCAAATTGTAATTTTAAGTTGTAACTCTCTTAGCTTCTGTATTTATCTGCAGACTTATAGCAGATACAATTTCTAAAAGTTACAATTTCAAATTGTTACTCCCTTGCCTTCTGTATTTATTTGTAGACTTAATATTTTCAACCTAATATAGATCTTATTTATGCATTTTGCTTACTATCTGTGTATCCCCGTTAATACGTCCACTTCAGGAGGGCAGTGCTTGTGTGATTATACTGCTGCTGCTGAAGGAAACAATATGGAATCACTCACCGACCGACCTCATCCTTATGTAGAATGTATCATTCTTTTAAAAAGAGAAAAAAAGAAAATCAAACCCTTGATGTCTGCCGTGCAAAAATTAAAACCTCTAGCCCGTGATTTCCCTTTAAACTAAACGCCCTGGGTGCTCACTTTGTATCTGTTTCCTTTCTCTGATTAAAACTTCTTCTTTTCTGGTTCCAAAGTGCTCAGAGCAAGTTCCCACTAGATCAACCCAATTTCATCAAAGAGTTTTCCCCTCTGAAAACCCCCATCAAACGCTTGGCGTGAGCGTCCGGGACGAGATGTTAATCGCCAGCAAAGCAGCGCCGTTTCACACCCCTCGGACTCACTGGGCTGATTAATAAACCTGAGCCTGTCAAGAGCTCCTTTCCCACACTCAATGAGTCGCTTGTCCTCGGTTTGTCTCCCCCTCCTTGCCCCCACATTATTGTCCAAAGTACAGAAATGCACAGAAACTATGCTGCCCCACCTGGGAATGCAAATGTCCGAAAGGCCAGTGTTCCTGCCTGTCTTTGGGGCCAGCAAGTCACATTTCAGTAGGGATCAGACGCTCGGAAGGGAAGGGGGAAGAGGGGGTTGAACATCCTGATCCTCCTGACAAAGGAGCTGCCTTGTGGCCGCACTTTAGGAAATCAACAGGAATAGCCGATGCTTCACATTTGCTTTTGTTCTTTGTGGGTCCAAGAGTTTCTCATCTTTATCCAAAAAATATAGGATTGAGAGACTTCTAATGGTTCTCTCCTACAGCAGGCGTGAAGAGAGCTGCTCTGAGTGTCACCCTTTCTTGCAGGACTTGGCGTACCCTAAAAACATGGGTAGCTTATTCTCAAGAAAGGCACCTTTAGAATCATTTTGCTATTACCTTGCTAATTGTTTTTTTTTTCCTACTTAGTACTTGCATTTCAACACAGGTTTTCTTTTCGCAGTGTATTATTACTTTTTCCACTTACTTTACTCTTAACCACTAAATAATCGGAATTATAGCTCCTTGGGCTCACCGATGCATTTTTTGGGCACCTGTAGAGTTTCACGTTCTCTCTTCCTATTCTCTCACGTTTAAGAACAGTGGACTACATGGGATGTAACTTCCAGACCGTTACTTTCGTTTGTGTGTTCTGATGTTGTAGATCCCAGTGTCAACCGGTATCACGTGCAGTGGTTTCCAGAAGCGTGTGCCCACAACAAAACAGCGGGATGGGAGACATCCTCCGGCATGACCCACGTAAGAAGATGCTCTCTGGACTGACTTGACCTGTGTGTATATAGCTGGGCGGGACGATGTGCAAACCAGATATGTAAAATGGATAACTCACTCTCACAAATGGGCTATCGAATAACAGCCCATTGAAAACTGAAAATCTAACAGTCACTAATCCATTCTTTCATCCATGCACACCACTGCATGGAGAACTTATTCCACTGGCGACACAGGGCAAGCCCTAAAATGCTGAATTTCTATGTGACACTCTCACTCTGCACCTCTCTTTGCCACGTCCTTAAGTGCCATCAGTTCCTCCAGTCAATGGGACATGCTACTTGTCCTGCACAGCAAGTGCCTATATTTTGAGATTTAACTTTAAGAGAGCATTCAACTCTTTGGGGGTAGTAACTGAATACTACTCAGAATATCGTTCCGGATATTTTGGGATTAACACATGAGTTATAGATTAGAATCAGCAAACCAACACAACATGTGTAAGAGGCCATTGTGTCATACAAGATGTTGACAGCAGCAATGAACATGTCATAAATCAGGACAGTTTAAAAAACTCAAAAACATGGCTCCAAAGGTACAGTATTATGGCTTGGGATATGTAGCTGGAATCTTTTCCTCTTGAACATTTTCTAAAGCAACCAGGACACTATGTTTAGGATCATATGTGATCACATAACTTCAAGACAGGCAGAGAAAACAAGTCACTGGTTTTGCAGAAACACACAGCTATTTTTTCTGTTTGTTTGTTTGTTTGTTTCTTTCTTTCTTTCTGGATTTGACTTGTCTCAATCAGTTTACCCAAGTTACTCCTTTTGTTTATCCTTAAGTTAGTTCCAAAGTTTGTGACCTTCATTAAGAAATTAAGCAGACATTCGAAATAAGGAAAGCTGTTTTAAAAGTAGAAAAAGAATCAAACGGAAGCAGGATTCATTAGAAATTTTTGTGGGCAGGGGTGAGGCTCCCCTTGCTCAGTGGCACATGCCCGGGACCCCTCCAGACCCTGGCTTGTGGCCACGTGGCCATCCTGTCCTAGGCTTGGCACCTCCATTAACTCTGACAGCGAGAATAGCTATTCACGGAGCATATATAATGTATCTGGTAGAAATAAGAATCAAAGTCTCAAAAAAGCATACTGTGAAAGGCTTACAACTTGTCTGTTTTCATTTTTAATCGACCTTTGGGCCCAATTAATTTACTTTCATGGTAGGATGAAGCACTGGCTAATTTGCTTAACTGCCGCAGACGTCTGCCTTCTGGGCCACATGAAAGCATTCTCGGCATACCTGCGGAGCAGAGTCCTTCACGGCTAAGCCTGGGTTCCAGCCTAGTGCCACATAAAGTGCAGGTGCCTTCCTAAAGAGAAGCAGCTCAGACTCCCAAACAGACACAGCAGCAGGCTGGGGGGTCTGGACTGAGCTGATTTCTCTGCACTGTTTGGTTTGCCACTCCATGTGGAGCTGGGCCCACCCTGACTCATGTCCCCGTCTAGATCAAGGGCAGCAGCCCTGGCATTCTCCCCGCATCTGCCCTGAGCATACCCGGCTGCACCTGCAGCAGCTTCCACTCCTGCCTCAGGTAACCCAGGAAGGACTTGAGCCTCTGTTTTTGTTGTTGTTGTTTTGTGTTTTGAGACACAGTCTCACTCTGTTGCCCGGGCTAGAGTGCCGTGGCATCAGCCTCGCTCACAGCAACCTCAAACTCCTGGGCTCAAGCGATCCTACTGCCTCAGCCTCCCAAACAGCTAGGTCTACAGGTGCGAGCCACCACACCTGGCTAATTTTTTGTTTCATTTTTAGTTGACTAATTTTTTCTATTTTTAGTAGAGACGGGGGTCTAGCTCTTGCTCAGGCTGGTTTCGAACTCCTGGCCTTGAGCAATCCTTGAGCAATCCACCCACCTTGGCCTCCCAGAGTGCTAGGATGTGAGCCACCTGTGCGCTCACAGGTGTGAGCCACCACGCCTGGCGAGCCTCCGTTTTTATTTTAATTCTTGCTTTGTGTTTTCTCCCCCCGCAGCCCTGCTGCTGCATGGCAGGAACGCCCACCGTTTGCGTGAGGGCTGCCAGGCAGACGTGCTCCGTCTGCACCTTTTACGCACACATATTAAGACATGATAACTACAACATAGAGCAGCTCCGTGGAACCTCACCAAACATAAAAGAAATATAGTTGCAAACTGTTATCACAGAACATGCCATCTGTCATGTTAAAGTTACACTCGAAGCCTCTGACTCCTTAGCAGTTTAGCCTGTTTTATTTATATTTAATCCCGTTATGGCAGAGAGCAATAACAGCATTCCAAAATGGGAAAAGAGCCATGGCTAAACAATATATCATGTTTTTAAACAGGAAAACATATATAAGCTAGTTCTGTGTCTCCGAAAAGCCTGAAATAGGTTTTTGGGGGGTTTTAAATTTTTTTTAATTAAAAAAAATTAGATTTGTATTTTGCAAACACCAGGCAGCCTTACACTTCCCACCTGTGCCTCTGTGGACTCAGTGCTGGCTGCGAACCTCGGAAGCCGGCCGCTCTGATGGGGGATCGCTGCGGCATGTTTCATGCTACAAGATGCATCCCATGGCCATGAGAGTGATTAATAATTGTCATCAGTCAAAACGTAGACAGTGTCTCCTTTCCACTTTCTATAACAGCCATAGTGCCCACCCTCCAGATATAGGCAAATATCCCTATTGGAATATGACTCCAACTCCTGCCGATTTCTTTTTTAACTCCTTGATGAGATTTATTGCTAGCGTATTCTCTTTCTCTTGCTCTAGGAAAATTATATAATTCTTCAAGATCTGTCATTCTCCTGCAAATATAAGGTGACTGTCCAACCCATCCGGCCAAAGGGGCACTCGAAGGCAGAGACCGTTTTCTTTGCCACTCCGCCCTGCTCCGCTCTGAAGGGGAAAAGCCACAAGCATGTTAGTTGCCCTGGAGAAGCAGGTACGTGTCTTCCCGAAGGACCTCCACGTCCAGCTCTAAGATGTCAGCACCACTTTGAAAACATTTCCAATCCTTGCTTCATAAGACCCTAAAGTCTCAAAGTGCCCCTCTTTCTAAGTTGTAAAATGATGGCCCAATTTGGAGGGAAGATATGTAGGAATGTTTGTATTATTTTAGAACCCTAACAACATTGGAAAGATGTCCTTTGTGGGCAATATCATCCTTTTGGAGATGAAAGCAAACGTTTAGATACTGCTTGTATTTCGGCAAGCTTTGGCATACGTTATTTTATTTTTATCCTACCCCTTTGATGTATGTGTTATCTCCACGAACTTTTCTACATCAACCCACCAAACCTCACGTCTGCACATCTGCACCACCCTTTTGACCAAAGCCCCTTTCTTACAGTGATAAAAACTACCCAGGGCTCTTTAAATGTCCCGGATTTAATAACTTTTCTATTAATAATAACTTCAACCTTCACCCTTCCCACTGCAGTCATTGCTGCTCTTTAAGAGCTGAGTCTTGCCAGAATCTAAACTCCTCCCTTTCTGCCATCCCCAAAGCAGGGTTCTAAAAAATAATCCCTGAAGCATTAGAGGAAGTATTTAGCACAAAGTTATAAAAATAAGATTCCTACCCACTTATCCCCATTTGTCAAAAGGGTGATGGCTTGAGCCCATGCTCAAAGAATGAGGTCAGAATGAATGAATGGCAGCCGAAAATCCCTGCAGCGGATATAAAATCCATCCCCTGTCCATGCTCTCTCCTAACCCCAGCCTTCGTTTCTGCACTGCCACAGGTCACGCTCTTTCCAAAGTGTTAGCCAAGCCGGAGAACCTTTCTGCTTCCTTCATCGTCCAGGACTTTAACATCACGGGCCACTTTTCCTGGAAGATGGCCAAGGCCAATCTCTATCAGCCCATGACTGGATTCCAAGTGACGTGGGCAGAGGTCACCACAGAGAGCAGACAGAACAGTCTACCCAACAGTATCATTTCACAGTCCCAGATCCTGCCTTCAGTAGGTGCCACCTCATGTCCTGTGCCTGGGCTGTCGCTGTCTCTTACCTTTTCTTTAGTTATCGTCAGGGGTGGGGCTCTCTCAGCTGCCTGCTGTACCATGCAAACTTCTTTCCGCATTCTCTCCTTCTCGTTGCATCATGTTGCTGGCATTGCCACGCCACAGGTGTTATAAAGAGTTAGGAAATCCCATGAGCTGTCATCCAGGCAAATCTTGATTACTGGAGCCAGCTCTTGACTAGATCTTATCCTGTCTATGTCATATGCAAGGGATTGAGCCATTTTCTTCTATCTTCATTAACTCCATGTCTCTCTGGCCCAAGTGGACATGCCCTGTTGGAAGTGTTGAACTGGGGGGGGGAAACAGCTAAAAAGAAGCTTGTTGTTTTTCTTTCTTTTCCCCCTTCAAATTTGGCTAGAGCCTGTAATGAGTTGGCCTGTCTTCCAGGGCACTTAATTCCTTGGCTTGAAAAAAAAAATGTGTGGGCTTTTACTCTCTCTGAAAATGCCCTTAGAATAGCCAAGTCCTGCTGCAAAAATACAAAAAGGAAAAAAAAAAAAAATATATATATATATATATATATATATATATAAAAGATGTAAATCCCAGAAGGAAAAATTCCATGAAATTAGAGAGTAGTTATTCTATGAATGTACCAGGTTTTATTGAGTTTTGAAAAGAATGTGTTGGCATAAAAATAAACATTTTCACTTCTGGGCAATGACAGATATTGTGTTTTAAGAAAAACAGTTGGCTCATTCACTGAAATTTGGATTATCAGGAATTCACATCACAAGATGTGCAGCCGAAAACTTTAAACCCTGGGAAAGTCTTATATTAAGGAGTAAAAAATAAATAAAATCCCGGAGCAAGCCCTGAGAACCGGCCCCTTGGCACATTTTGAGTCTGCCAAGTATCCTAGGCTGCCAAGAGTTGAGCTAGGTGCTAAGAAACCACATGGCGGAGAACTCCTGCACATGAGCGGAAATATTCTGTAGTTAAAGCCTGACTTTAAAGACCAACCCAACATGCATGCACGTAATCCCCTAGACTGGCGGACGAAGCCGTTGTGACTATGGGTACGTTGTGTGTTGTGTCTTAAGAGGTCATTCATTGATGACTGTATTTTATGTCGCTTCCTTAGGATCATCATGTTCTAACAGTGCCCAACCTGAGGCCATCCACCCTCTATCGACTGGAAGTCCAAGTGCTGACCACGGGCGGGGAGGGGCCAGCCACGGTCAAGACGTTCCGGACGCCCGCCCTCCCGCCCTCAGCAGCACACCGTGAGTGGGCGTCAGGGCACGCAGGTGGTTTGACAGGTCTCGGGGACAGAGAGAAAAGTCTTGCTGAAAAATAGAAGCAAAGAGATACATTATTACAGACTTCTAAGAAATAAGGCATTCTCCTTATCTGAAATACTTACTCACCTTTGTACCTACTTATTGGATTTGATTCCAGCTACATTTAGCAAGAATAGTATGGCTAATGCTTAATTGCTCCTTTCTCTCCCTTCTTCTCCCTCCTCTCTCCCTCTCCCCTCCTTCCTCCCTTCCTCCTCCCTCCCTTCTCCCTCCTTCCCTCCTCTGTCCCTTCTCTCTCCCTACTCCTCCCCTCTCCCTTTCTCCCCTCCCCTTCCCTCCCTCCTCCCTTCTTTCTCTCCTCCTCCCTCCCTCCCTCTCCCTCCTCCCTCCTTCCTCCCTCCCTTCTCTCTCCCTCCCCCTCTCTCCCTCCTCCTTCCTCCCTCCCTCTCTCCCTCCCTCCTTCCTTTCCTCTTTTCCTTCCTTCTTCCTTTCTTGCATTTCTTTCCCTACATAATACATGCTTTTTCCTTGTCTCTTATACATAAATACATATGGAAAAAATATTTAGTCTCATAGCAATCTGAAATGTTTTTAAATGAAGAGTTTCCAATATGGCAGTATAGGAAATAGTATTTGCTAAGGAACTTATTTTCTTGTTACATATATTTTCCTCTAATACAGAACATGAATTTCCTTCATGGCATGACCCAAATCTGTCTACTTGACTTTTGCTAAATCAAGTAAATTTAGAAAAAGAAAATTCTCATATGCTCTTTCAAAACAAGTAGCTTCTTGCTGATTTTTAAATTATGTATTTTGTTTACTTATTTTCTGGCTTAAATTTAAAAAGTAATGTCTAAAGATTTGTGTGTTAATAAGCAAACTGAGAATTAAGAATACTTTTAACTCAGATTTTTGAAAACGATGGATCACATGTGTGCCCATAACTTGGTATGCGTATAATTTGAAGACAAACAAAACCCATCACAGTGGGGGAGCTGGACAGCCCTTAAAGTCTTTAGGGTCGAAGAAAATGCTTTGCTGATGTTTCTTCATCAAAATTGTACACAATACAATTATTTGCTAATTTTTAAAACTTGTTTAAGAAAATAAAAAAAGGATCATGGTTTGCTTAAATAATTACAAGCTTCAGGGAAGGAACTCGTCTTCTCTCTCTAGTTATTTTACGGTTTGGGGCAGGAATGAAGGGGAGATGAAGAGAAAAACCGGGCAGGCAGAGGAAGAGAGGTCAGGAATGTGAGTCTGCACACTCGGGTTCAGAACAGGAAAGACACGGTCGGTCGTAGGAGGGGACGTTTGCCTGGATCCGAAGTTTTCACAAGTAAATGGGTCTCTACTGTTTACTCGGTGTGGATCTAGTGATGTGACAGTTACCTTTTGTCACTTTTCAGGACCCCACCTTAAACATCGTCACCCACATCATTACAAGCCTTCTCCAGAAAGATACTGAACTGGTCAACAAGAGTTTCAAAAGTTGCCTGGGTGTTGAGGAGCGGCAGCCAGCAGGCACCGCACTCCTAGAGGCAGTAGGAACTCCCCAGAGGCCCCGCCCCCCCGTGAACCTGTCGTGCAGTGAGTTCTCCTGTCATTCGCAGACCCGTCTGGAAACAAGCCACCAGCGGTCAACCGGTCACCAGTCCCCTGTGAGAATAGAGAAAATGAAGAATAGGCCTGTTTCATTTTAAATTGTGTTTCCATACGTGGCTTTGCCCATCTCTATTGAATTATTTCAGAACTGACATTTCCCCGAATTTGGTGCAGCTAACTCTCACCAGGACGTAGCGTAACACATAGACAATTCGTGCCTACAGCAAGCATAAATTCAATCAATAAAATATATTTTTGATTAAGTTATTGATTTGATTTGAAAGATCAACTAAGATTATACAGCACTATGTACTCAAATCTTTTATATGATCTTTTTCATCATGGGTGATTTTTTTTTTTTAACTGAGAATTTGTAGCCTAAAATATACCAAGGAATTTAAATCTAAAAATGCTCCCATTTCAAGTGTGCTATGCTACTTTTTATAAAATGTAAATGAAAGTTCAATCTGTAAATTATGATTTAAAAAACACACTCAAGCCAAGGGGACTCCATGAATTAGGCTGCTAATCAGATTTTGCCTCGGAGAAATGAAAATTCTTTTCTGGGGATGCTTTTTGCTATTTCGTCCTGTAATATGAGAGATTTTCCTGATATGTTATTTATATTTTCCCTTATTTTCCTCACTGTAGAATAGCACCTTTTGGTGCACTTTCTTTTTTTCTTAACCACCTGAAAATTCACAAAACCTCTTGCTTCAATGAAAGAACCTGAACTGTTGAGCATTTTCAAATCTTTATGGAGATTTGTGTTTTCTTAATCAAAGTGAGCTATTTGTATGCTAAAATAGTCTCAGTAATGCATTTTTTAAAAAGGACTTTCATTGATAGAGAAGGGTGATTATTTGCCTTTAATTAACCTATACTCATTCAAATCTATTATATCTTATTGTTTGGAAAATTTCTCATGTTCCAAACTACCCCTGCAGCATGAACTTAAGTCAAAACATGTTCTCAATACATGGGCTTGCAGTGGATATTGGCATAACCTAAAGCACACAGATGTTTAGTTTAACATAGCTTTTTCTTGAAGGAATACTCACATACACGGTTTGAAATGCACATAGAAATGTGTCTTTATACTTATAAATGTGCATATATATACAAATATATAGATATACATATATATATATACACACAGAGACACATGTATGTACATGAATATACCCTGAGTATGAACCACTGAAAAAGTTGTTTTCATAGCTCAGCGGTGGTGGATAAAGATGTAGTTCTTCTAAAGGTCGCAAGGATAATATATTTTCCCCATCAACGCTGATTCATTGAGGAAAGAGTGATTTATCAAAATTAAACACTATGAAAGAAAGTCTTCCTCGTTTCGTTATCTCTCCAGTTACAGTGGGAAGAAAACGAGTAACGTTATTCTTAGGTTTTGCTGGTGAGACTTGCCTCCTTGCTGTTCGATTGTTTCTGGAAGGTGTGCAGACGCCTGATCGTTCCGGAGCGCCGTGGGCAGCTCAGCACTCACTGCGCCCATGAGACAGACTGCGCTGCAGTCTCTGAAGGCGGATGCAAGATAAAATGTGGGGAAACTGTTTTTATGAAGACGATGGGTATCTTTAGGCAACGCAAGCTATAAACATAGATACTGTGATAATAGATACTGAAACTTGTCTCCTGTGTGTTACAATGTTTTAAAAGCAAATGATGCAGGAATGTTGCTTTGTACAAGTCACGTAACTTGGAAATGTCAGAATGGAAAGTTCATGCTGGTCCTGAATGGTTTTCTGCAGCTCCCGTCGCGGGCTGGAATGCACTTATCACAGTGTGTTGGGAGATCGCCCGGTTCCGAGAATTTTGAATGGAGAGAACAGCCTTCATTTAAAAACACCCCTGAGCTTGAGCAAACTGGTGCCATTGACATCCCCTCTTAAATGATGCTTTATCCTAGCGCCATTACCAGCATCTGAATGGCAAGTGCTTAGAATTTCAAAAATTAAAACTGTTCTTTATTGGCTACACATTTATCTTTTATACGAATTGGTCATGAACAAATCCAAGTATTTATACCAGCCAATTTTCATCCTGTTGCATAGTTAGAAATATGGGAGTCTATACATAGATACAAAATGCTATTAAATTATTATAAAAATTTAATTTTATAAAATTTAATTATGTTTTTCTGTCTGGGTAATGGACATTGAACAAATAAATATATTTTTAGTTCAGATAGTGGTTCTTAAGCTCACATCTTCCTTACAAAATCTAAAGTCGTTCTTATAAGCTTCTAATTTTGCTATATTTATAACTTAAATTTTATTAGTGTTATTGGAAGAAAGATGCTATTGATAAGGTAATAAAAGCATAAGTTTCTTTTATAAATTTTAATAATCTCCAATGATATTCAAATGATAAAAAATATAGTAACAAATTTGTGAATTTTACAATTGCAAGTGCCCTCATAAAATGATAAAAATCTCGGATTTTTTTTCTAAAAACATAATTTTGGTGCCTAATTCTCTAATATGTTTTGTTGAAATGAGATGCCTTCCTCTAATATGAGGAAAATATATCCAATGATAGTAGTGACTGTTTACGAAATTGAGGTCTGCAAAAATCCGATCACCAAATGCAGGTGGTGATCTCCAGGTGCTCTGCGGCCATGGTGGGCATTGCCTTTATTTACAGCGTTGGCACCTGCATGACACATTTACCTGCGCTGCCCTCTTTTTCTAACTGGAACTCTACAGAACGATGTTTGCATTCCAATGTGGGCCCTTTCGAGTCACTCATGGTTTCAAGATGACATATTAGAGAAGACAAAGTTGATAGCAGTTAATTTTTTGCAATGTTTGTTAAGCAAAGTTCAAGGATTAAAAATACACCTCTCTCCTGGAACCCTCAGAGCACGTAACTGGCTACAGAGCAGGTTATCTGAGCCTCAGCGCTGCTGACCTTTGTGGTGGGTGCATCTCTGCCGTGGGGGGCTGTCCCACGCCCCTAGGGTGTTTGGCTGCATCCCTCGTCACCACTCACCAGATGCCCGTTGTCCCCTCCCCTGAGTCGAAACTCCCAACAATGTCTCCAGATATTGCCAACTGTCCCCTGGGGTCTAAAAGCACCCCTGGTTGAGAACCACTGCCAGAGAGTGATCATTACTGAACAGATGAGAATTTTCCCTTTATAAGGAACCCTGCAAATTGTAGGAACAAGCCCCAAGACCTGCAGGACAGCCAAGAAGTTACTGCATTTGACTTGTAAGGCTGAAATCACATCTTTTGTATACCCACTAAAAAACCTGATGGAAAGACTGGATTTTGACTTCTGTCTGTGTCCTACAAGTACAAATCCTGATTTTGCTCCATGTATCTGTGAATGTCCCTTGGGATCCTGACTTGTTTATTTAATGCCCTTCCTTCTACCTTGGGTTCCTCGAGTTTGCTCATTTCCATGACTGCAGGTAACTCTAAATCACACTGTAGCCAGAACACAGTGGCTAACTATCCGTTGCATGTTCTTTAAAGTTCATTGTAGAATATACATGAATCCATAAACGTGTGGACTCTTCTCTACAACTTTGCATGGCTAGGTGCGGTGTCAGGTATGGAATGGACTCTCATGACTGTCTTACCTCTTCTGGGTATCTTAGCAAGTTTCACAATTCACAGAGTGATTAACAGAGGTCTATATAAAGGTATTGTCTTTTTCTCTTTACTCGGTTATATTGTAGTGTGCAGATAACAAAACTGCTACCTTCTCATCCAAACGATCTGCCGAATTCATGTCCCTTATAGTGGTCATTTAAAGTCAATATTTATTTATGTATGTAATAAAAAAAAGTTGATTTTTGTGTATGTCTGTCATGTTATCTAGAGAGAAGTAATCTTGTAAAAATGTTTTGTAAAAAAACAAAAAAGTATTGTAAATAGTCTGATATTCTGTGACTCATTATTTTCATGTTGGAGTTTGTACATACTGGTTCAGTAATAAACTATCCTTAAACCTGCCCTTCGATACCACTCATTTATTTCTTAAGGAAACACTTTTCTTTCGTTGAAGCAGAAAAATTAACAGTTTCTGCTTCCAGGGAGATTCAAAAAGCCTAACTTTCCACGTCAGTATGACTGGAATTTGAAGTCTGGTCAATGTTAATAAGACAGCGCTTCATCCTAATGAAGGTATTTTAGAGTTTGACAATCAACACTTCAGAGTTCTTCCATCATATTCACAACCGTCACTCCTGATGGTTTTGGTGGCATTTTTAATCAACGATTTCAACTTGAAATTGTTTTTAAACAGCCAAGATTTACCCACAAAATTCTAGGTAGATGTGATGCTGAGAAGCATTCACCCGAGTCGCTGTTTTTCAATACTACGTACTGTGTTGAAGGCCTTTAAATCTCCACCATCTGAGAAGGGTTTTGAGGGGTTTGTACATCCCCACTTTGACACGCAATAGACCGATAGCATAGCTGCTGATGAACTCAAAGAACGCTTATGCAATAAGGAAAGGCATAAGAAATAAAATGGTGTTACTCAGGGGGAACTTGGATCATTTTTTTTTCTGCATAAAATCACTGATTTATGTGATTATGCATTTTTTCCAACAGACATTACCTTATTATTCCCTGCCCCTCTAGCTCAAGAGCTGGAACATCGACCAGGAAAGGCAAGCCTCCTGTTTCCATGGGTTCTGCATTCTGGTAGGAGAAGGCAGACAATAAATAAACAAGACATAATAATCCCGAAAAAAGCCACGGGGTGGTGAGGACTCTGGTAGAAAGGAAACAGAGCATCGTGTCACCTGGTGACTCTGTGTCTCATGCACAGAGGACAGTCGGTCAATGTTCGGGGACGCCAGCCCTCTGCAGGGTGGACGGGGCCTCATCCTGGGTGGGGGAGCCCCGAGGTCAGAGGGGGGCTGGCGTGAGAGGTCTGGAGTCATTACACGGTTAGCACACACCATGTTTAACACTTTAGAGTCCAGGCGTCCTCAACCTACGGGCCACGTGCGGACCGTCTAGCATATTTACCTGGCCCTCCGGGCGTTTTTGCCGCGGCTGCCTGTCCTGCTTAGCAGCCGACTCGTCCCGGGCCCACGGTGCGGCCCACTCTCCAGTGGTCTGAGGGACAGTGAACTGGGCCCCTGTTTAAAAAGTTTGAGGACCCCTGCTTTAGACTCTCACTCTGGGTTTCTTATGTAGAAAATGTGGGGGCAAAGGCTCCTGCCCCCCTAGAAATCACTGACGAGAGGCAGATTAATTAATAGGAGAAAAAGCATAGAAATTAATTTTATTGAGTGTGTATACATGGGACCCTTCAGAATGAAGACCCAAAGATACCAGGGGACTCTGTCTGTCTAGACACTTCTTGGCCTCTCTGAGCGGCGTCCTTCCTTCTGGGTGTGGGGCGGGACCCTCTCTGGAATGGGGGTCTCATGATCTATAGCCAAACAAGGCAGTCAGAGAATTTCCTTATGGCCAGTTTTTACATGGAATAATTCAGGTTTTATGGCCAGCGTTTGGGAAAAGGGATTCTGGCTTTTATGAGCCACCTTGGGGAAGAGGGAGTCTA